ACCTCCAGTAGCAAGGGCTTGCTGACCCTTAGGCCGCTTCAAAGCATCAGAAACTTGAAAATAGGTTTAAAAAAAACATTTGTCTGGTAGCAGTGTGTGTGTCTAAGTAACTGACTCTCCACCCTTACTCAGCATGTCAAAGGCTTTTGTGGGTAAGGATGGATGAAGTGGGTATACTCTATAGGCATTTGTTATAACTAGCCAGGTAGTTTATCTAAATAAATCAAAATTTACATTTGAATTGAGTTGCCTGCCTTTAGCTATAGGGGGGATGTATTGCTTTTTCCTTCTTTGGTCTCAGCACAGTGTAGTGAGAGGTGTTGCCACCTGGGGGAGAGAAACATATCCAACAGCCATAGTCAACGTCCAGGCTTGTGGTCCTTGATGGAGGCCTAAGTGCTTAGATAGTTTTACTTTTGTGAAGCTTCTCATTTCGCTCCCAGGTTTTCCCATTAATGCTTGCTCTTTGATTAATTTGTCTTTACAGTGTTTTGTAAGTGTTCTCCATTTATAGCTCTGAGTACCTTTGATTTGTTTTGTTTTTTAAATGGCAGGTAAACAACATGTTCCTTTCTTTGAAAACCCATAATAGCTCTGGAGTTTTTCTTGGGAGCTGAGAAAATGGGGGACCTTTTAGAGTAAAGAATTTAGTATGAGAAACATTTCAATTATATGCATCTTCTGAGGATAAAAGTACTTGCTTTAAGGTTTTTTTTTTATTGCTTCTGCACTGTTTAGCAATAACTACTTAAAAGAGTGATTACTTCCACAAAAGAAGAGTTTTCAATTTTGGAGTGAGAGGATGGTTAGGTTTCTAGGCAAAGGGAAGATCCCCATTGTTGGTGAAGCTGTGAAGGGGCTGCCAAGGGAAGGTAAGGGCCAGCAACAGCTTTAAGGCCTTGGCACCTTCTGTGTGGAAGCCCTTGTTGGATGTTTTCAACTTTGGAGATGGGTCCTGGTGAGACGGAGAAAGAGTGAGGGGACTGTTAGGTGGCTGTGGAAGTATGGATCCCCAGTGTTGGCAGGGCTGTGAAAGGGCTGCCAAGGGAAGGTGAGGACTAGCAATAGATTTCAGTCCCAACATCTTCCGTGTGGGAGCAGTCGCTGGCTGTTTTTAGTTTCAAAGTTGGGCCCTGGTAAGAGTGAGAAAGTGAGAGGGGACTGTTACATGGCCAGGCAAGCATAGAGCTCAAGAGTTGGTGGGGCTGTGAAGGGGCTACCAAGAGAGAGGTGAGGGCCACCAAGAGCTTTTCCTTCTGGAAACTTCTGTGCAGGAGCACTATGTGGAAAGTGCCTGTTTTGTTACTGGATGCAAATCAGATTGACTGTTTGGTGGTAAAAACAAGCACAGAGCACCAGTGTTGGTAGGGTTATGAAATGGCTACCAAAGGAACGTGAGGGTCATCAACAGTGTGATGTTGATCACACATCAACTCCTTTCATGTGTGAACCCTAGCTATAGGTTTTCCATTTTGGAGCTGTGCTCTGGCTAGTGAGATGGGATCTCTAGATGGAAGACAAAGCACAGAGCCCCAGTGTTGGTGGTGCTTTGAAGAGACTAGCAGGGGAAGGTGAGGGCTTGCAATAGCTTTCAGGCCTGCCACCTTCTGTGTGGGAGTCCTTACTGGACATTTTCAGTGTTAGAGCTGGGCTCTAGCTAGATCGAGTGAGTAATGGGATCATAGAATCATCTGTTTGGAAGAGACCCTCAAGATCATCGAGTCCAGCCATTCACCCTGCACTGTCAGAGTCCCTAAACTATGTTCCTCAACACCAAATCCACATGGTTTTTAAACACCTCCAGGGATGGGGACTCCACCACCTCCCTAGGCAGCCTGTTCCAATACCTGTAAAGATCAGTAGGTGGAAGAGAAATCACAGAGCCCCAGTGTTGGTGGGACTTTGCAGAGGCTGCTGTGGGGAGAGGGCCAGCAAGAGCTTTCAGTCCTGGCACCTTCTCTGTGGGAGTCCTTGCTGGACACTTTCAATTTTGGAGCTCAGCTCTGGCTAAAAAGAGTGAAGAGAAGCATTAGCTGGGTATGAAAACGCAGAGCCCTAGTGTTTGTGGGTCTTTGGAGAGGCTCCAAGGGAAGGTGAGGGCCAGCAAGTGCTTTCAGTGCTGGCAGCTTTTGGGGGGGAGCATTTGCTAGTCATTTCAAATTTTGGAGCTGGGCTCTGGATAGAGTGAGAGCACGGAAGTTGTTAGGTGGCAAACTGTTGTGGTTTAGGCCAGCTGACAACTAAACTGCACACACCTGCTCACTCACCCTCCTCCACCCCCAGGGGATAGGGAAGGGAATTAAAGGAG